ATTTTGGGTTTCCTCATGTCGGTTTCATCCTTCTAAGTGTTAGAAGTCGATACCGCACACGCGAAACCCCAAAAGAGGACGGAAATAGGTCGAACTAAAACGAGGCCGGCACCACTTCTAAGGTTCTAAGATAGTCGCAGGAAGACCCCTAAGGCTAGATCCTAACTCCTACGAGGAATACTAGACCTCACAAAAAAAATTGAGGTCAACAACATCCTTGTTCTTGAATATCAAAGGTATGGTGATAGATTTTGACACTATTTTGTGGCTCCAGCATGGTGTGAGAGGACACAGAAAAATGGTTAAATACGTTGTAGAATAGGTAAAGGGAGTAAGAGTAGTGATGTCGGAAATATGACTTGAACGGCAACTGAAGGGTGAGCCGGCAGAAAAAACATTAGATTTCTGTTGTCAACAGCAAATAGCAGCAAGCTTGGGGAGGAAGAAAGTCTTTACTTTCGGAAGAGATCATCACCAAGATCCAATCAAAATAAAGACATACGACCCGAAAAAAAACAAAAAAACGACACTCAAATAGAAAAAACATGGACAAATAAATATCCAATTAACACAAAACTAAGTAAAATTTTGCACAACCAGGCTCTAGGCAGTATGCTTATACTAACCTATCAAAAAACTCTAATTCAAATTAGACTGATATTAAAATAATAATAAGAAGGGTCCCACACAGTAAATCAACCAAGGCGCGAGAAAATCCCACTCTCAGAACTGAAGCGAGATTGGATTCCATCCCGCTTTGATCCCGCAATCACAGGATCCCAGCATGCAGCTGCATTAAATTGTCCATAAAATTGAGAATTTGCATTCAACGTCAACCCATTCTACTTTCTTTCTCTTCTTCCAAGTTTATCAACATAATATTGATCGCACACATTTTTTTTCCAAAAACAAGCATGCAATTGCCAACGAGACTCGTCAACCACAATCACTTTGTTGACCAACCTCTCCACGCAATCCAACTTCACCTTTGATGCATACAAGAGCAAAAGGTCTTTTAAATACCATTGACTTATTCATCCTTACAAATTCATTGGTTGTAATTGGATATATACACACTACTCCAGTTAAATCCCTCCCTCTCGAGACTCAATTATAGCTCGCTGCATTGTTTAAAGAAAAATGAAAAAAAAAAAACAAATAGAATCAATCTTATTTCACTGGTTTGGTTTGGTTGTTCATCAATATATCAGTCAAATTTATTAGTTAAAAATTTAACTTTCTTTAGTTTTTGGCGATTTGTTTTTTTTTCTAAAACTAATCCAATTAAAATCACACTATGACAATTTATTCAAATATTACATCAATAGAGTCAATAAACAATAAAAAACAAGTTATAGAAATATAAATATGCATTTATTCAACATGCCAAAATTATAAATTTTAACAAATATTAATTGGTATTATCTTAGTTATGTTATTTAACCTAATAATAATTAGGTTAATTGTTCATGTTGATTGCATTAAATTTCAAGCAAATCGATTTGAACTAATGAAATTAAAGCTTGGTTTAAAAAGTATGTTGACGGGCTCGATTCTCCAAATTTTACAATTTAAATCAAATAATTTTAGCTAATTTGGCAACCAGAGCAAATGCACACTCCTGACTATAATTGACTACAGAACATTGCAACCAGCCAACTTGCTCAATTTGCGACACTCATAGACTTTAGCAACCAGGAATTCTACTTAAGATCACCATTTACTATCAACTATTTGAAAGAACTTAAAGATTCTTTACCTGCAACCTTATGGAAAACCAAGATATCACTACCACTAATGGTCGGCACCTATAAATATCTTGAGGCGTTAGTGATGCGAGGCACAGGGCATCAAAGAAGCGACAACAATCGTGTGACTCCCGTCTTGGATGAAATCGATCCAGAGTTTGAGAGATCCCATCAGTCTTCCTAGCCCTATGAATTCCTGCCCAGAGGCTTAGTTACTCTAGGCCTATAAGTACGTTGTTTTTTCGTATTTTAGGTCAATTTTTTATAGTTTTTCTGTCAAAAAAGTCAGTGGTGTCCCCTGTTTCCCCTTCTAGTGTTGTATTTAAGGGTGAGTGGTGCTCCGATTATATCTTAATCAAAGATGGTGATTAGTTTTGAAGGGTATAGTGCCCTGGTTGTATTTTGGCCCCGATGTTATATTTATCTCTAACTTTCCTTTACCCACATCCGTTACTTCACTGTCAAGGCCCATTTCCTCGCGACTGTCCCACAAAACAGCACCCTTTTGTTCCCTGTTGTTGCTTCCCACCACCTTGCCTCCACCGTCAACCATCCTACCTCCCTTTCCTTCCAAACGCCAACTCTTCACCCAACTCCCTTCTTTTCCAACTGCAGGTCACTTTCATCCTGACTTTCTACACACCACTGCCGCAACACTCCCTACCACTTAGCACCCTCCCATCCCGCATGGCTACCCACTACTCATTGGGATACATTCCTAATGTTCATGTCTGTGCTAGTTCTATTTCCGTTAGTGTGATTATATTCCCTATTTTGAAGTCAACTATAATATTTTATTTCCTATCATTGTTTGGGTAACTTCGGTATCAATTAGCTGAGGAATCAAATCATTTAACATCAGAATCCATGAAAAAAAAAAGAGAGATTTTGTCAAACTTTGTAATAAAAAGACATAATTTGCAAAAAAAAATAAAAAACCCCACAAATCTTATATAAATAAATATGCAACTGTCAAAATAAAGACGCAAGTGATTATCTGATATAAGCAAGAACTATGATAAAAAAATAAAGGCTGCACACATCACTGCAATATACTTTCTCAAAATACAGATAATTTAACATAATAACAATTACAAACGATTCTTGGAACTTGCTTAAAATTGTTTGCCCATTACTCAGCAATTGCTACCTGCCGCATTTTATAAAAAAAAAGGATGTGAATCTCTATCAGTTTAAAATCATAATTCCAGGATAATTAGGGATATTATTGTACAACAAGAAAGGCCGTTCCATCCAAGAAGATGGAAAATGTGAACTGCTTACCTTGATTCATCAAAATCAGCCTGTCCTTTTGTCACATTTCCAGTCTGTCTTAGCAACTCAATAAAGGTGTTAAATACATCCATCTATGATGAAAAATGCAACAAAACTGAGATAGACCAAATGGAAAGTTTTATTTCTTAAATAAAATTGCATACATAACATTTAATAGTACCTTGACATTTTCCTCTCTTTCACGAAACCTTTCTATCAACCTTGGGCATGCCTATAAAAAGTAGTAAAAATCAATATAATGAAATACAATACATAGTCTATGGCGATTACAAACACTTTAGAACCATCGAAAACAGTTTTACAGATGTTCCTTAAAACAAATTAAGCAAATTTCAGCTACATGCTCCTACAGCAACCTCAGCCAACAAAGCTTTAACAGCCAATGTATAAAAAATACAACCCCAACTTCATTGCAACATTGTAAAGTAGTATATCATCTATCGCTTTTTTTTTTTTTTTGGCTGTTTAGCACTGGACAATAAACAGAGCAGAGAATCAAGTATCTAACTTACCTCCAAGTACATGTTTGAGAGCATCTCTGGCCGTGAAACAATAATAGCTGATAAGCATTTTGCAGCAGCTCTTCGAACTTTCCAACTGACATCCTCGTCGTCAGTATATTCATTTGCGCTTTCACTGCCACAGATTTACATGATTAGTTAAGGAAACAAAATTCAACTGGATTCTTCAAATGATCAATGGCGGTACATGAGTCATTCAATAACATACTCCTCTTCCTCCTCCACGTTACCCTCATCATCAGTATCTTCATCCATGCTATCCGTGAAATTCGGATCATAGCTTAAATATTCCAGAGTAAGATTCAAGATATCATGACAATATGAAGATATATCTCTGGGACATCTCAGTAGAAAACTTTCCAACGCCTACCAAAATATAGGATTCAACATGAAATCAAACGAAATAAAAAAATACAAATAAAGTTCCTGATAAAGTTCTAGTTGAATGTGATGATAAAATTACCTGCAAACTGTACTCACGCAGCTCTTCATCAGCTTCAGACGCACTTGTGCAGTAGCTAATGAGCAGGGGAACAGTCTCCCCAAGATGAGGCCCAAAACGATATCCAACAGAACGACTGGGGTAAAATGATAAAGATAAAATTCACCAATAACAATGTTACTTGAGGGACATGAAGACAGCAGAAATAACACAAACTCATTGATGCCATAAATAAATCAAATTGCAAGGAAACAATGGATTTGCAACATGAAAAGGAATATAAAGACCAATGCAAAATTCATCAAACCAAAGCCCACGTCAACAATTTTAATGTGTGCATATGAAGAACAAATATGTAGAAAACTTCTTAATGAATCAGTTAGAATGGAGACAATTAGAATTATTGGCACATTGGATGGACTTTAAAAAGCTACAATAATTGAGCAAATAGCTCTTCAAAAGTACAACAAAAAAGTAACTTAAAGCATAGAATACTTTCCATCATTTGACAAATAAAAAAATGCACAATTTCTCCTATTCAGATTTTGACATAATTTTAGCATAAGAGAATGGATACAAACAGAAGACAATAATGTTTGCGATAGCATTTGATAAGAAAAGTGAAGAGCTTATAAATACTTAAAACTTAAATTAAATAACATGTAAGGATAAGGAAAGACTAAGCACTAAATCCATCAACCAAAAGATTTATATGACATCAGGACTGAAAATAAAAGGACCGCTTGAAGAAGTTCAACATGGTGGCAATTTTAGAATAGTAAATCGCTAGACATAAGCAACAACTCTGGTACCACCGCAACAGCTAGAACCATGAATGTAACTTGAGTTTGTAGTCACTTAAGAGTGACTAAATTGCACCATGTTTTATTAAAACTGTAGTTGAGCTCCCTCTAACTCAAGTTGAGACACCCTTCAGGAAGTTGGGCTTAACATGGTGTGGACTCAAATGAGCTGCAGAGATATCCACAAGCTTACAAATAAGAAAATAGTAGTTGATAATAGTTGAAGATGAAAGTTCATGGAAGAGGAGCCTATTCACAGTCCATACGCAAGTGAAACGCCACACAAGACCTGTCTGTCACAGGAACTCAATGAGCTTACAATGATGCAGCAAAGGTGGACAAGTTGCAATGAATAGATTGACACGGAGTAGTACCCCTAACTCAAAATCACTAGTATATACTAATTTCATTTGTATCAGAATCAATATATTATTTGGAGGCAATCCGGTTTAGAACCAAAATTAATTTGAAGTCATGGTTAAGATATCTAACTCTTAAACATCAAGATAGCTTTTGGTGTAAAAGCATGAGTTTTATCAGGACCTCTACCATTAAATGCACTCATATTCAACTAATCTTTAGCACTCAGAGTCATAGCTCCCTGATAAAAATTATAGAGAATATGAAAAGCAATTGTTTAGGGTTTCAATTCATTAACTAGGGCAAAATGCACGATCATTAAAATATTGTAAATCTTAACATAAAGGTGCTCTTTCATGTAACAACTTGACCTCTATCAGAAACTCTAAGAAGGGTGCTCATATGGAGCACTCCAAAGTGGTGATCTCCTCCAAGGGTTAGAGGGATGCTCACGGGGATAGTTATCTTTCCTTTTTCATCCCATCTACTTGTTGCCCCTCTAACCAGGGCAAAAAGAACGATCATTAAAATATTGTAAATCTTAACATAAAGGTGTTCATTCTTGTAACAACTTGACTTCTATCAGGAACTCTAAGAAGGGTGCTCACATGGAGCACTCCAAGGTGGTGATCTACTCCAAGGGTTAGAGTGATGCTCACGAAGATAGTTATCTTCCTTTTTCATCCCATCTACTTGTTGCCCTTCCCTGCAACCCCTTTCCCCCTGATTCCAGCTGCCAGCCCCATTCCTCACGTGATCCTGCCGCAAACCACTTCATCTTTTCTCAACTGCAACCAGACCATTTGATCTCTCAACTCCCCAGCTGCTGAATCATTCCAGCATCCCATAAAGCCACTAAAACAGACCCTCTACCTAACCCGTTATTACCGTCAGCCCACCCAGCCTTCACATAAAACAGCAGAATCCAGCCTCTTTCCAGTCATGGGTGTTTCACCCTCCCGTAACTCCCTCGTCCAGCAGTCTACCCGTATGTCTTGTTTCCTCAGCCATCCAACCACCAACACTCCCCCAACTAATCCACTCCCTCACGCCTCCTGCAGCCAGCCGGTTACAGGCTGCTGTCCAGCCTACCCCTCACGGCCCTGTAACCCCATCCAGTCCATCTCACTGCTATCTTCACTCCCTCTGACACAGCCAGTCACTGCCACAGCCACCCCCAACTCTTCTCGTCACTGCAGCAGCCGTCCCAGCCCTCCAACAGCTATCGCAGCCCACTCCACCATATCCAGCCACTGCTCATAACCTTCCAAACCATCCTATTGTTGTCGCCTTCACCAAACCAGTCCCCTAACTGTTAGCCAGCCGCCATCCACCCTCTTCACTTTCGCCCTAGGGAGTTAGTTTATATTTTTCGTCTTGGTTGTAACTGTTTGCATTTCAGCAATAAAATTTGCATTCCAATTGTGGTTTGTGTTAACTCTGGTATCACAGAGATTATGTAATACCTAAAAACAACAAAATGTGAGTTAAACTTATTTTTTTAAATTATATCACATTTTCGCACCTCCCTTTAACTATCAAGTTTATCTTTATAAAATTCTACACTTTATTCCAATTCATTTTAGTACATTGAATTATATATTAATTTCAAATATACATGTATATATATATATAGAGAGAGAGAGAGAGAGAGAGAAAGAGAGAGAGAGAGAGGTTAAATAATTTGTATTTAAATAAAATTTTCCAAAGTTTGAATAATATTATTATAGCAGTTATTATGGCACCAAAATCAAAACCCACTGTCAACAACATGCAAAGTCTAGATTTAATTTAAAGGGTGACTAAACTAAATAAGTTAACTTATGTAATCTTATACATATGTGTGTTTCTGCGTGTGCGTGTTAAACCCACCAAAACAGGAGAAATATTTGCGTACATAAGATGTACGCAGCGCTGCGTACATCAGAGGTTATTTTGGGGGTACAGGGGAGTTATATCCGGGTTATACCGGAGGTTACAAGGGAGTATAACCCAGATATAACCCCATTGTTCCCCCTGAATAACCTCTGATGCTGATGTACGCAGCGCTGCGTACATCTTACGTACGCAAATATTTCTCCCAAAACAGAGAGCAGCTTCTCTCAGGTAGCAACTACGGAGGAAGAAATAAGAAGAAAGAAGAAGAAAGTAGAAGAAGAAGAAAAGAAATAAGAGAAGAAAAAAAGGATGAAAGAAGGGAAAGTAAGAAACAAGGGATCAAAAGCAAGGCTTTGCAGGTAAGAAAATTGAATATACATGTATTTTTATATAAATATTTATTTAATCTAATAAAAACCTATAATTTCTCCCCAATTTTTGTGAAATTGCTATTTGGCCTAACATTGGCTGTTATGAATTAGGTTGTTAGGTGCAAGAATTGAAAGAAATAGATTAGAAGAAAAAAAAAAGCTTGTATGTGAGAAAGTCATTTTGAGATAAAATCAACAATTGGAAGTATTTTTGTGTTAAATTAAGTTTGATGTAAGAACTTAATAAAAATAATGAAGTTTTTTTTATTTCTAGATCGTTTAGAAAAGTAAGCAACTTAAGCTGAGCTTAGAGAAGGAATTCATCGTGAGATTGACTTCATAACCAATGCGAGATATACAACTGCTAAAATAGGAAGCATATTTTTATAGGACTAATGTTTGCTACTCTTTATGAGTTTTTTTTTTAATGCATTAGCATTTTAGGTTTCTTACATACTGAGCATATCTGATACAATTAGCAGTCTAATTCATATAAATGATTATCAGCTCATTTTCAGTTTATAACGTTATTATAGAAATGCAATATCAAGCACATTTGTTGATTATTACATCTTACCATATCTGTGCCCATGCTAATAAATTGTTTTTTTACAGGTAAATTAAATTTAAACAATAATAGCAAATGAAATAATTAAAACATATGACTATGATAAAAAAATGTCATGAAATTTATGATAGATAGGCAATTATACTGATAAACTGTGCAGGAGAAGGCAAAAGTTCTGGTGATATGAGCCTTGATAGAAAAATGATTTAATTTACGGCTCTTAATATTAAGCTAGGGACAAAGGAACTAGTATTACGAGGCCGTTGATAAAATATGTGTTGAGTGATCAATCTTCATGTAAAGATAAAATGCAAATGCATATCAAGGTTGATCATCTCAACACATATTTTCAGTTTATAAAGTTATTATAGAAATGCAATATCAAGCACATTTGTTGATTATTACATCTTACCATATCTGTGCCCATGCTAATAAATTGTTTTTTTACAGGTAAATTAAATTTAAACAATAATAGCAAATGAAATAATTAAAACATATGACTATGATAAAAAAATGTCATGAAATTTATGATAGATAGGCAATTATACTGATAAACTGTGCAGGACAAGGCAAAAGTTATGGTGATATGAACCTTTATAGAAAAATGATTAAATTTACGGCTCTTAATATTAAGCTAGGGACAAAAAAACAAGTATTACGAGGCCGTTGATAAAATATGTGTTGAGATGATCAACCTTCATAAGCAATTATTAATCCATATAAAGTGGGTGAGACCTAACGAGAGGAAATATATCAAAGCCTATGTAAAGATAATATGATATTTCTAAGACCAAAAAAATAAATAAATAAATTGATAATAAGAATCACTAAAAGAATGAAAAAAATAAATACAAGATATTCTTTAGTATGGTGGCTTAAAGATCTTGCTAGTAGCAGTTTCATTATCCATTTCTAACCACTTTTATATCCATTTTTTATATATTCTTTTCATTATTTAAATACCAAAGCATGTTTATTTTTTATTAATGTCATTACTTATATTAGTTACTGACCAGCATACACGTTACTTATTTCTTGTATATTTGAATCTTATTTTAGCAACATTTATCTCATTGAATGTGTAGCAAACTAGATACTATAATATTGGTTTTCAAAGAGTTAAAAGAAGCATACCGACTAGTCCATTGTATAGCTTTTGGTCTTACAGTCTCCGTTGTTTATAGAAGACAGTTATAACTGATGTAGATGGAGATTTTAGGGTACTTATAATTTTATATTTGATGTAATTTCAAAAACTTTGTATTTTATTTAAGGATTCCTTATATACCTTCAGTATTTATGGCTCAAGAACATTTGAGGAATTGAAATGTAAGAGTTTGTTTTATGATGAATTGGTTAAATTAATTCTCCACTCATCTGATGCTGATGAGTACAAGCCAGGGTAAGAGTTGGGGAGTCTATCTGAATCATCATCCTCTAGTACACCTCTATTTAACTTGAGTGGGTTGATTGGTGTGATAGATTAAGATGAAGAAACTATGGTATGTAGAAGTATGCGTTGGAGTTTAAGCAGTTAAAACAACCCCCTATACAATTTGCAAAGCTGATCAAAATGTTCAACGAGCAAAGTCAGCAAATCAATAAGGCTTCTGGGTTGAGCTCATTTAAAGATCCAACTTAAGCTATTCCCAAAAGTTCAAGCCATGAATAAGAAAAAGGGAAGTTAAAATTTAAATTTGTGAAAAGTTATAATAGGTCATTAACCATGTAGCATTCCCCATAACCATTTATGAAGACAAATAAACAGAAACGAGATGCATATAAGGGCTCAAGCACCACTTGTTAGCAATGAATAATTGACAGAAGATTTGTGAAACACCATTACCAAGAAAAAAGAGGATAATGATGAGGCCAAGGGTCTAAATTTGATAAATTGGAACAAAATCTAAAAAATGTAGGCATAACATTTTTTACCTTCATATCATGAATATCTGCTAACTTTCTAAATTGATTTGGAAATGCATCGAGGTGTAGTCTAATTCATTGGTTGGTTCCACTATGAAATGCAAGTATCTTGCTAATACATATTTAAATTTTTAAGTGAACATAAGTTATAATTGCTCTCTTTTATTAAGTAGGTGAAAAAACATTTGTTCTTCAAATTCCTTATCCTGCTCAATTTGCTTGCAGCATAATATGTTCAGTGAGATCCCAATTCCTTTTCCCTCATGCGGACATATTCAATTTAATAAGTTTTTTATGGCATTTCACTCTGTATCATTTTATCTCTGCTTTCTTGCAACTCTCTTCCTTTTCTTTTCTTTTTTTTCATTAATGAGAAGGGGACTTCACTGGTTTTTCAGTGAAAAAAAGCTTTTTAACACATAAGAGTGAAACAAATACCTAAAAGCTCCAACCATCTGGATGTTTGTTCGAGTTATTTCTGGTCTTGTATTCTTACTTTTCAACAGTTGCACTACTTCAGCAGTTGCCTTGGCTAGTAGATCATCAGACAAACTTGAGGCAAGAGATGCTGCAAAATATTAATTGGTCAAACTGTGAGAATAAATTTCAGGAGAAACTAAAATAGCTGTAGCACAACCCATGGAAACCCAGGGACCATTGGCATGGAAGAACATAGAATGCCACAAATCAGTATTCCAACAGTAGCAATTATTGGTCACTTGGTTGGGATGAAAATTCTCTCAATCACTTAAAAGAAGCACAAATATCCTAATAAAGGTTTTTAAAAAAAAACACAAAACTAAGGTACATAAAAATAAAAAAGTGCATTTAACTCACCAATGCAAGAAACTGACTTCTTCCTCACACTAGCCTGGTTAACATTTAATTGCGATAGAAGCGCACTCAGCAATTCTTTATGATCTTTTATCATCAAGTTGCCAAATCTATGCAACACATCGCATAAGATATCGAGACTTTCACACTTAATTTCTGTACTCTTTAAAGAAAAAATAAAAAATTGTGCAATACAATCACATATATGACTTATATGAGCATCCACAACAGTGAAAATAACAACAACAAAGCCTTAATCCCACTATCCACAACAGTGAAAACATTAAATAAAAATTATTTTATCAAGAAAATCAATCATAAAATATGCTTAGTTATAGATGTATCTGAAACATCTCCATAAGATAAGCACTTCCACAACAAAAACTTCAAATCAAATTTTTTTCAAGCATTATAACTTACAGGCAGTATAATGCAATATAAACTAAAAAATTAATACATAGGAAAAGAAAAAAGCTAGCCATCTCTGGTAAAATAACGCCATAACTTATATCTATTAAGAGTATACTTAAGAGTTGAAACGTGAGTGAAGTGCTCAGAAATGTTGTGATGAGAATAATATATGACCACCCATTATTATAACTCATGAATAAAATCTTCTATCATGTGTGGGCTCCGCAAATTTTGACCACCCCAAGACTCTCTGTTTGTTGCTATGTTGAGAGTATTGAGGGGGTCAAAGTTTTCGAAAGAACGGTTAGATTGTAGATAAGACTATACCCAGAGATTTTGTCATCATTTTGTAAGGAGTTTTTTATATGAGATTTGAGTTTTTCTACAAGCGCAAGCCTCCATAGTTAACTATCCTTTCTGATTACAAGAGAGCACTTTCAATTAAGACTAGTCATTGAGAATTGAATATTCAACATATGACATCAGCAAACATACAGTTTAAATTGTATAATTTATCACTTGGAGCTTAAAGTGGATGGTAGGGAAATGATGACAAACCTGATCAAGATACCACGGTTATGTCATCTCAAGACATTGCGGTCTCTATCTGCTTAATCAAAGGAGATAATTGACCCAACATGACTGAAAGATCATTGTAAGCAAACATGGGTTGTGTCGTCCAAGAAATCCTTACAAATCTATGGTAGAAGTTAATTGTAGGGGACAAATTTAAGTCGACCTTAGCCAATAGAAGGTTACGTGCCAATTAGATGTACAAATATAAATCTATGGTAGAAGGTCGACCTTAGCCAATAGAAGGTTACGTGCCAATTAGATGTACAGTTAAGCTTCACAACTTGAATAGCAGAAAGTTGTTATGGAACACATGGGTTGCAGCCGTAATCGTAAATAATGGTGTTATTGGGAGCAACCACCCAATCAGAAAACTTTGTTCGTAACTGCTACTTTGTGGGGCTTTTGAACCAAATCACGTGAATAAAAGACTCGGATCACATCCTTACTGGCGTGAAATTACTTTGAATGTAAATATACTGGTACACTCGATGTAACACTAGCTCTTTTGTGAGCTGTAATCGATCAAAAATTTGTCACGCTCGACAAACTGTTATGAAAGGTGGATGTGATTTGCTTTAAATATTTTAGTGATTAATTTTACTTGAATGTTTAATCTGTTTGAGATTTTCAGTTAACATGGTCATCATGGGGATTTGTCATATACAACTTTTATGTTTAAGATTCATTTGAAGTTCATTAGCTTAATATTTTTAAAATGTCATTCATGTTAGCTTCAGTCCTGATGAGAAAGATCGGACTATATGATTTAAACTTGTAAAATCTTATATTTATGATTTGAACATTACTAAAACTTACTATACTCATCAGCTCAAGTCCTTAAGAAGAGAATCAGACTAGTTAAATGGGACTTACAAAGTTGTCCTGTAGACAAGGCAGCCCAATTGATTAACTTTCAATATATGAATTATTTAAGCGCAAGTTTGGCCTTAACCCGCTCAACATTCCTAAGTTATTTGCTGGAACATTTAGAATTTTAGTAGGAGCTCGTGAGGGTATTTTACACATGATTTTAAGGGCCCGCTTGGGGCAGATTATTTAGGTGGCGCGGCGTTTTCAAAACGCGGCCGCAGTGTCTGGGTGAACGTTCGCCCGGATTATTCATATCGCACTGCGTCCCGCTTCGCTGAATTTCTTAAGGGCTTCGACGCAGGTTAAGACCCGCGTCCCGAGTTCGGCTATCATCTCTACCCTAGATACCCCTCGCGCTCTCCCTCCCTGGTTTGTTGCCTGCGATCGAATTTCTACACCCTAGAAAAGATCGGACAGTGTTCCTTTCGATTTCTCTTTCTGATTCGTAAGGTATGCTTTACCCCACCGTCTTCGTTGGGCGTGAACAGTCGAACCTCACTGTTCTTTGTTTTTTTCTTCTTCCTTGACGGAAGAGCAAAGGCTTTCATCTTCTTCCTTGTCAATTCGAAGGTCGCCGAAAGGATCTTTATGGTTTCACAATTTCCTTTCATTATTTCCTTTCATTGTTTTGCTAGGCATTCATTATTTTGCTAGGCATGAAGAAATGTGTGGAGAATGCATTTTGAGTTCTCCAGGAATTTGGTTTTGATTTTTCTGTTTCCTTAAAGCTAACAACCGGATTTGTTGGGCTTTAGAACTTTCTATGAGAGGAATCCATATTTGGTAGGCATGAAAAAAAGTGTGGAGAATTCATTTTGATAGCTCCAGAATTTTGGTCTCGATTTTTCCTGTTTCCTTAAAGCTAACTCCCAAATTTTTTGTTTCAATTTTTGTTGGGCTTAGAAATATTTATGAGAAGAATCCATGCTCTTATCTCTTGTTTACGGGCTGCAATTAATTCTTGTTTAGAGTATTGGGCAATAGTTATAGCATCAATGGTTATAGTATTGGGCAATGGGTATAGCATCAGAGCTTCATGAGCTGGTATTACCTCCTGTTTTCCAAGTTTATGTGTTGATCTTTATGAGTCGTTTATGGGTCGCAATTAATAGGAAACGTAGGTATGAGCTAGTATCTATATGTTTATGTGCTGATGTTTAACATACGAAACGATATGTTATAATTCCTGTTTATAGGAAACTGTCGGCGCTTAAAAAAAAAGGGAAGGGAAAG